AAACATTTATTATATCATGCTCTCCTCTGCTCATAATCCTACAATGTTTTATCTAACTGAAAATAAATGGCAAAGTCCTTACAATGGCCTATAAGATTCTACACTATTTACTCTCTTAGTATTTTTCTGACCTTATCTCATTCTACCTAATTTCTTTTTTTAAACTGAAATATAGTTGACATATAACATTATGTTAGTTTCAGGTGTACTACATAATGATTTGACATTTGCATACATTATGAAATGATCACCTCAATAAGTCTAGCAACCATCTGTTCTCATACAAAGTCATTACAAGATTATTGACCATATTCCTTATGCTGTATATTACATCCTTGTAGTTTATTTATTTTATAACTACAGGTTTGTACCTTTTAATGCTCTGCATTTATTTTGCCCACTCTGATGCTGTCCTCCTTCTGGCAACCACCCATTTGTTCCCTGTATCTATGAGTTTGTTTTTGTTTTGTTGTATATGTTGTTTTGTTTTTTAGATTCCAGATATAAGAGAAGTCATGCTGTATTTGTCTTCTCTGTCTGATTTATTTCACTTAGCATAATACCCTCTAGATCCATCCATGTTGTCAAAAAAGACAAGATTTTTTTATGGCTGAGTAATATTCCATTGAATATGTATACCATATCTTTATTAGCTGTTTGTCTGTCAATGGACACTTAGATTGCTTCCATAACTTGGCTATTGTAAATAATATTACAATGGACATTAAAGCACATGTATTTTTTCAAATGAGTGTTTTTGTTTTCTTCTGGTAAAAACTAGAAGTAAAATTCCAGGATCATATGGCAGTCCTAGTTTTAATTTTTTGAAAAAACTCCATACTGTTTTCCATAGTGGCTGCATCAATTTATAATCTCACCAACAGTGCACAAGTGTTTCCTATTCTCCACATTCTGGACAACACTGTTATTTGTTGTCTTTTGATGATAGCCATTCTGATAGATGTGAGGTGGTATCTCATTGTGGTTTTGATTTGCATTTCCCTGATGATTAGTAATGCTGAGCATCTTTTCATGGGCCTGTTGGTCATCCGTATGTCTTCTTTGGAAAATGTGTATGCACAGCCTCTGCTCATTTTTGAATAGGTTTTTTTTAATGTTAATTCTATGAGCTTTGTGTGTATTTTGAATATAAACCTTTTATTGGATATATCATTTGCAAATATTTTCTCCCACTCAGTAGGCTGGTTTTTATTTTGTTGATGGTTTCTTTTGCTGTGAAAAAGCTTCTTAGTTCAATGTGGTTCATTTATTTTATTTTTGCTTCTGTTTCCTTTGTTTAAAGAACCATACCCCCAAAAATGTTGCTAAGACCAATGTTAAAGAGTGTACTGTCTGTGTTTTCTTCTAGTAGTTTTATGGTTTTTGATTTTAGAGCCCAGTCCTGGGGTCCTCTACCTATTTTATTAATCTCTCTTTCTGGAATCCTTTTCTATATATCTGCATGACTAACTCCTACAAGTACTCAAAAAAATTGTTTACCCCCTTAGTGAGGTGGTCCTTGACTAAACTATTTATAGCTTAAGCTCCTTTGATACACCCTTGGTTTATTCTTCTCCAAAGACCAAATCAAATCACTTTCCAACATGCATAAAAGCTTCATATATTGATTATGTTTATTGACTGACACCCCTTAATGAGGGCAAGATTATTATCTCTTTTAAGGCTACAATACACAACATAAAATAGATATTTAAAATATTTACAGAGTAAATGAACACATAAAAGAAGTGAAGAGTATGCAGATGGACTAATCAAATACCCGATATAACAACATTGACCTGAGAAGGAGACAGAGAGTAATTCTAATGGGAGTGGCCCATGAAAATCCTAATTTGCCTCATCAAATTCAAAAAGTAGTAGGAATTAATAGAATTATTTTTCACTGACTATTACCTTGTTTCCTTGGGTGCAGTCTGCTTTCCATCATTTACGCATTCATTTAATCGTTTATTCTCTTCCTTGGTAAAAATTTTGCCTAACATCTATTTCCCCTGCATTCCGGTCTATTCGGACTCCTGCTCTATTATTTCTCTTAGCGCAGTTGCCTCACTTAAACTTTCTTTGTCCAGTCTGCCTCAGTCTCTGCTTGGTATTTCCTCCCTGACTACTTTATTTACTTTTGGTCATTTTCAAGCCAAAGGACTTCCTTAACTTTCTGTGGTTCTATTTAGTATGTCTATACACTGAAACCTCTATAATCTATTGATTAAGCTGTGGAACTGAGGAAAAAAAATAAAATAAAGCCTGATTATTAAAATAACATCTACACTATGGGTTGGATAATAGTATCACCATTTTCCAGATGAAAAAACTGAGATCCGGTTTTTAATTGACTTTCCTAACCTCAATTAGCCTGTATATGGTGTGTGTGCTTTCAGAATCATTGCTCATTGTATAATGTTACATTGCCTCTTTAATCCAGATATCTAACTCACAGCCCCCAGTTTTCCACATTTCATATGCAAGCTTCCCTCACGTTTTAGGAATACATCGTTTTTTGCCTCTCCATCCTTAGGCATTTAATAATCAATTATTCCTCACACTTCACTTCAAAATCTATTTTATATACAATGCATTCATTAGGCATATTGAAGTGGGAAAACATTCAACTATCTGCCAATAAAAATATGTGAATATTTGCTAGTGTTAAAAACAGCCACTCTTTTTTCTCATGGAAAAAAAGACACCTTTTAATATTAATATTAAAGGTTACCAAACAGTCCAAACATAATACCACTAAACAACTTTAGATTTTTTTCATCTATTTTTTTAATCTTTTAAAAATTAAATTAACAATCCAGTTGTCAGTAAATATAACACAGATTCTTAAATCAAGGTAATATTTGAGTCTTCTATATTTAGATTATTTCTAAATGGGAAGACATTTATTTTCTTCTTTTGGCTTCAAAAGTGAAGAAAGAAAGCCCATAGCACAGGGTATTCATACTGTTCATATAGAAAGTGGTATAATTCTGAATGAGGACAAAAGTCATATTTTCCTTTTCATCTAAAATAAGGGAGAGACCCTCTCGATGCCTTTTAATCTTATCTCTGGAAAGAGTGTAGTCAATTGTCAGTTTGAATTTTTGTGATAACTAATTGCTCATTCCTTGGAGTGTCTGATTCTGTAAGAAGGTAAAATGGAGAAGGCATGAAAACCTAACTTTTTATATGTATTTTTCCACTCCGTCACCATAAGATGACTCTAAACCTAAAATGATTTGCTTATAGTGAAGCTCCAGAACTTTCTGAAGTCCTAAAAAGTTTGCAGTTTCTCTAAGGTTTTCTTCCAAAGCCAAACCATATCTGCAAATTTTGATTTTTAAATTAGAAATTATATTATCCCAATTGTTCTCATGACAGCTTAACTAACGAATGCAGTGATTTTTAAAATGTAATCAATAAATATATTTTGTTGTGAAACAAATTATGTGTTTAGTTTTTACTTGACTCTGAAAGGAAACTAAAATAAATACTCTCTGTTTACAAAGAAAAGCAAGCAAGATGGAGCACAGGGATGAAGTAGTTAGAAATGATCCTACTAAAGAAATAGACATCATTAGCTTAATAAGGAAAATTTACATTAGGAATGAAAAAAAGCAAAAACTAATTGAAACAAGAATAAGCACAGATTAATTTTATTGTTTCAGTCAAATATGTAACATAAAAGTGGTGTTTGAGGAAGATGAATTAATTCTATGATCAAGAGAAGGAATAAAATTTGTTGAATCAGAAGGAATTTGTGTAGAATGAAGAATTCAAAGTTGGAGTTATGGTAATGGGAATGAAATTTAATTTGAAGGAAAAAATCTATAGAATATGAAAATAAACTTGATGAGAGGTATCAAGAATACATATGGGTCAGAGATCCTGTTAAACTTTTTCTCAAGGAAGCCTGTGGATCTGGACCTGGGAGAGCAGTCCACGAGTGCAAAGCCAGAGCACAGAGTGGGATACACAGTAAAACTGAAGCATCTGTCAAAAGGAGTTCAGGCTTTGGATTTATGTCATTTTTCTAAAACTTGATTATGATTGTGATTCTCATTTTAAAACATTTTGTTTGTGCCTAAAAATGATCATCTTAGCATACAAATCAGTAAGTTAAAGAACAGAAAATTAAAATGAAAGTAGAACAAAAAAAATTAAAACAAGAGAAATTCTTAAAATGTAAAACAAATATAATAGAGAAAATAAAAAACAAGTTTATTTTTTATCTGATCAAGATAAAAAGGAACAAGATTCTAAGATCAAGAGTGAAAAATGGGCATTTCTATAGATTGTATAAGCATTGCATAGATAACATAAGGATATTATAAAAAACTTGATAATTTCAAAAATTAGATAAAATGAATTTTTTTGAAAAAGCACAAGAAAAAGTAGAAAATCTGAACAATTATATACCTATTAAATAAACTATACTTATTAAAAAGAACTTATTGGTTAATTTTTTAAAAATCATAAAAGAATATCACTAATCTGTACAAAATATTCTAGGAATAGAAAAGGAAGAAACAGCTTCCCAACACATTCTATGAAGCCAGCATATATTAATACCCAAACTTAACAAATTATACTCAGGAAAGATTATTACTATGTTTTCAAGATGAAAAAAATTCCAAACATCTTATCAAATTAAATCCATCAGGATACAAAGAGAATAATAAATCTCAAATGAGGTGTGTCTATTCTAGGAATGTCAATTTGGCTTACTAGTAAAAAAAAAGTCTATATAATTCACCACATGAAGTTTAGAAAAAAAGAGGAAATGTAATATGATTATGTCATTAGGCAAACATTAAGCACTTGAGGAAATTAAAGCAGAATGCTAAAATGATTCTCACTCTTCTATAATCTCTTCCTCCAGAATGTGAACTGAACCTGTGAATATAAGTCACCCCCATGATTTTGGAACTTTAGGTGGGAAAAGGGATTTTGCAGATGTAATCAATGCCACAAATCAGTTGAGCCTAAAATGCGGAAGTTATCTGTGTTAGCCTCACCAAATCACATGAACCCTTAAATCTGGATTGAGAGGTCAGCGACTAAGAAAGGCAGAAATTCAAAGTACAAAGATTTGGCATGCTATCCAGATGCTGGCTGAAAGATGGAGGGTACAATATGGCAAGGAATGCAAGTGGCCTCCAGGAGCTGAGAATTGCCCCCAGCTGACAGCCGGGAAGGGCTAGATTCTGACAACACAAGAATAAGTTTCAGAGCAGATTTTTTTTTTTCCCTTCTAGAGCCTCCAGATGAAAGTTCGCTTGGCTGACACCTTGATTTCAACCTTGTGATAACCTGAGCAGAAAACCCAGTAACTCCTGACCTACAGAACTCTGAGTTAATAAATAGGTGTTATTTTAAGCTATTACGTTTCTGCGAATTTGTTATGTATCAAGAGGAAACTAACACAAATATCCAGGAATCGGTAAATGGTATCTATAACAAATCCACTGCCAACATCATCCTTAATGATGATTAATCAAGTGTTTGCCCTGAAATTAGAAATGAGACAGGGATGATGTTGCCGCTGCTCTTCAACATTGCCCTGGAGTCCTGTCCAGGGTAATAGGCAAGAAAAGCAATTGAGATGTACAAGGCATGGAAAGAAGGAATTAAACTGTCATTTTTGCAGATGACATAATAGTGCTTGTAGAATATCTAAAATAACTTACAGAAAAGTTACTAGGGTTAATAAGTGAATTTGAATAGCAGCTGGATGCCAGGTCAACACCTGCAACTCCATATAAAAGCAACAAATTAGCAAATAAAATTTTTAACATAAAATTCTTTCTCAGAGCATAAAATAACAAGCCACCTAGGAAGGGGTACAAAAGTCCCTTTGTCTATCATCGTGCTAATCTTAGCCCATCTTAATACAGTTAGTTTAAACTTCTACCTTGGTAAATCCTCCTACTTTTTTCCTTTTCAGGATTCTCCTAGATATTTGTATCCCTGTGGATGTGTGTGTGTACGTATTTTAGATCCAACTCATCAATTTTCACCAAAAAAAAACTATTGAATTTTTTATTGTGATTGATCAATTTGGAGGTTATCTTAAAAATACTGAGTCCTCCAGTGGTCCTTGAACATGTCTCCAGGAACAAACCCAGGCATATATAGACTTAATTTATGAATAAGCCAGCACTGACAGCAAAGTGGTTTAAACAATGCTTATCAATAAATAGTGTTGGTTTATCCATTGGGAAGAAAAGTGATACCTTACACCATTCACCAAAAGCAATTACAGATGACCTTAAATCAGTAGGTTGAACTGTATCCCCTCAGACTTAATGTGCTGATGTCTAACTTGCAGTACCTCACATTTTGACCTTATTTGGACATAGAGTCATTGCAGACGTAATTAGTTAAGAGGAGGTCATGGGGGAGTAGGGTAGGCCCTAATCTAATATGATGGAGGTCATTTTGAAAAGAAGTTTAGACACTGATCTGCACACAGAGGAAACACCATGTGAAGATGAAGGCAGAGATCAGAGGCATGGTTCTACATGCCCAGGAATGCCAAAAATTGCCAGAAAACCACCAGAAGCTCTAGAGAGGCATCGAACAGATTCCTCCTCACTGTCCTCAAAAGGAACCAACCCTGTCTACCTCTTGAGCTCAAACTTCTAGCCCTCAGAACACTGAGAAAATAAATGTCTGTGTTTAAGTGATTTAATTAACATAAAATCTAAATATAAAACAGACTAGTAAAGTCTATGATATCTAATAAAAGATAACAGAAGAAAATCATGACTTTTGTTTTAGAGAAAAAAACTCTTAAACAGAGCACAGATATCACAAGCCACAAAGGAAAAGACGGATAAATTAGACAACATTAATATTAAGAATTTTCTGTAATAGTTAAGAGAAATGCCAGCCTACAGTGAGGAGGAAGATATTTATAATACATAAAAATGAAAAGGAGTATATAAAGACAGAAATCAGTTAGAAACAGATAAACAGCATAATGGAAAAATAAAGAAGTTTAAACTAAACTAAAAGAGATTTAAGTAAGTACCTCAAAAAAAAAGGGGGTTTCCAAATGATCAAGAAATGTTTTTAAAAGTGTTCCAGCTCATTGAATCATCACAGAAATTTAAAAAATTTAAAAAAATGAGATATCAATGCATAGTAACCAAAATGATTTAAGTGAAAAGGAATAAAAATATGGTTTTGGTCAATATTTGCAGCAACTGTATCTCTCATATACTACGCGTAGGGTATAATTTCACAGAAGCATTATCTACTAATTACACATACACATTCTCTGTGATCCAGTAATTCTACCTCTAGAAATACAAACGTATGTGCTCCAAGAAAACAGGTACAAGGATGTTAATAGCAGCCTAGTACGTAATACCCCAAATCTGGAATTAAACGCCCACCAATAGTATTGTGAATAAATGAATTATATATTCATGAAAATGCTATGCAGCAATGAAAATTAACAAACTACAGCTATATTTAACAATATGGGTGAATCTCCAGACCAAAATTTTGAGCAAAGGAAACCAGATACTAAATAAACATACTATTTGACCTTACTTGCATGCATTTCTGCAGAATAAAACTAACATGACTAATACATAGAGAAGTAATTCAGAAGAATGTAGTGGTTGAGATGAGTTATAAGAAGATTCTGGGTGCTGGTAATGCTCCCTCCTTGGTGATTACACATGTATGTTCACTTTGGAAAATTAATTACCATTCACACAATCAATGAGTGCAATTTTCTGTATCTTTAGTATACTTTAATATAAAAGATTACTTGAAAAGAGACTCTAGAAAATATTAGTTTTTAATAAGAGTGATGAATAATTAAATTAGATAAGTAGAGTTATAACCAAATAATTCTTAATATTCATTAAAATATATATCTTAAAGTAATTCTTGATATTGTTAAAAATTTCAAACCTTACTGCTTACAAATCTGATTTGAATGAGTATAGAAGAATCAAATTCCATATTCTGAAAAATTTCCTAATGATTGCTCATATTCATCAACAATGTGTTAGCTCTAAGGTAATGTAGTGTATTACCAGGATAATTCTTCATTTGAACTCTGAAAATATCATTAGGAGGACTTTCTTAACTAAAGGCTGAAATTGAAAATATCACAGCCAAAATGTCCATTGTAACCCTGGCAAAATTCACTGTTTCTTAAAGTGTCATAATTGGAACTTGGGTGGTTCACAGCTGGCTTAAAATTGTCAGAGAAAATGCTAGTGAGCTGACTTTGTATACAATACAGATTTAATATTTGACTATATAATGTTTATTTTAAATGTATGTGTATCTATATACATATGTGTATGTGTATAAGATTTGAAATGCAAAATAAATTATATGTTTCATAGAAATTCTGATCAAGTGTTAGAATTTAAAAGATTCTTAAAGATAATATATTATCTACAAAAAGTATGGGAAATTGTTATACTTCCTATAAGAAATCCATACCAATTGAAAAAAAAACCAAAATCTGAAGTAGCTATATTCAAATCAAGCACAAAATTTTTACACAAAAAATTTTATCAATAATGAAAAGGGTCATTTCATAATGATAAAGGGGTAGATTCATCAAGAAGACAAAAATTATAACTATATACTTCATAACAAAGACTCAAAATATATGAAGCAAAAACTAAAAGAACTTTAGTAAGAAATGGACAAAACCATAATTATAGCTGGTGACTTCAACACCCCTCCTGCAGTGATTAGCTGAATAGGTAGGCAAAAATTAGAAAAAATATAGAATACTTGTACCATATTGTTATAGACTGCATTGTATCCCCCCCAAATTCACATGTTAAAGTTTGAACCCTCCCCCGCCTGATCCTCAGAATGTGATTGTATTTGGAGATAGGGTCATTAAGGAGGTTATTCAATTAAAATGAGGAATTAGAGTGGGTCCTAATCTAATAATGACTGATGCTTTTGTAAGAAGAGACTAGGACACAGACATGCACAGATGATCATGTGAAGCAACAGGAAGGAGACAACCATTTATAAGCCAGAAGAAGCCAACCTGCTGACATCTTGTCCAGAATAGTACAAAAACATATTTTTAGTTGTTTAAGCCCCTATCTGTGCTACTCTTCTTATGGCAGCTCTAGAAAAGTGATACTCATACTATCAACCTATTAACTGGAAGTTGTAGGAATACTCCACTAAACAGAATATACACTATTTTCAAACTGTACAGGGATCACTCACACAGACAAACCATATTCAGGGCCTAAAATAAATCTTGATAATTTAAAAAGGATTCAAGTTAATTCAAGTTATACAAAGTATGTTCTCTGACCCCAAATTAAATTTAAATTAAAATTTAATAATAGAAAAAAAATTTGGAAAATCCCCAAGTAATTTGAAAACAAATGTAGTTCTAAATCACCCATAAGTCAAAGAAGAAATCAGAGTGGAAATCAGAAATTATTTTGAACTAAATGAAAATAACAAACCATATCAGAATTGGAGGGTACTGATAAAGCAGTATGTAGAGGGGAATTTATGCCATCAAATGACTGTAGTGGGAAAGAAGACATGTATCCAGTCAGTGATTTCAGCTTCCACCTTGAGAAACAAAAAATAGAAGATCAAATAAAATAAGGAGAAGAAAGAAATGTATAATAGTGCAGGAGCCAATGATAGAGAACATAGAAAAACAATAGAACTGTTATATTAACTTGGGGTTGATTTGTGGATTTTCTGTTTTGTTCCATTGGCCTTCTGTTCATTATGTGCCAAAACACACTATATAGAGACTTTATGATAATTTTTAATAACTGGTAGTACAAATCCTGCATTATTTGTGTATTTTTCAGGGGTTTCTTGGCTGCTTCTGTTTATTTTTTCACATGGATTTTAAATCAAACTTAACTTTTGGATTTCTTTAATTGGTATAACAACTTAGAAAGAACAGATAGATATCTTTATAATCAGTGTTCCAAGCCACTAACATTTCTTTTCATTTTGCAATTTTGTGATTTTCTATCGTTTTTTAAAGTTTTACTCTTACAGTCTTGCTAATTTCTTGCTAAGTTTATATTCAGACATTTTTTCTTTTTTACTGTTACTTTAATGATGGCTTATCATTTATCTATCTATCTACCTATCTACCTATCTATCTACATGGCGGTCCTGGGTATTTAACCCAGGACCTTGTGCATGCTAAGCATGCGCTCTACCACTGAGCTATACCCACCCATCCAAGTCTAATCTTTTATTATATTTTGTAACTGTTTATGATATATATAATAACAGTAATAGTATCCATTGTTGATTTCATATTTTGCAGTCTTTTTGTTCATATGGTTTTAAGATTTTTCTTT